AGAGAGAGAGAGAGAGAGAGAGAGAGAGAGAGAGAGACCATTTATTCAATAACAAACATATGAATATAACAAATAAAGTATGCAATTGGCGCAAAAGTGCTACGCACTTAAATCATGGCGCCGCTTGCTAAACGATAAGTACTTAACGTATTTAGCAACAAAAATAATGATGAAACACAATGAAACAAGAAGAACGGAATAAAAACATTTATGTTGCAAAACATGTCAAAGTGATCGTCGATCGACCGGACCGCCCAAGCCCGGTAACGCTCCACGACCCCGGCGGCACTGCAAGGCTGCCCCGCACCGCGCCCACTCGTCCGACCACGGTAGTGGTGAGGATTGGGACTGGGATGTTGTATTTTATAAGCGATGGGTATGGATGATGAAGGATTGGACAGCGGTGGCAACCACACGGCCCTCCTCACGACTCAGGTCTGTACCGTGGATAAGGATGTCGAGTTGTTTGGAGGAAGGGAGAGTGGAAAAGTCAGTGCGGATGACGGGCGACACGGTGTTGTAAAGAATGTTTCGCTGAGTATGATAAAGTGGAAAGGAAAGTAGGAAATGTTTTGTGTTCTCAGAATTATAGCCGCAAGTGCAAGAGGGTGAATTAGCTTGTTGTATGGAGAAAAGATGAGCATTAAGTTTTGAAGTATTCAGTCGTAGTTTTGTGTGTAAAATGTTGCCTGTTTTTGTGCCTAGGAAATAATACAGAGGTGGACGGGGTTGTGTAATCAGTTCTTTTAGGTGTTTTTTAAAGGTAAAGTAGTTATTGTTTGTGCGTAGATGTTCGGGCAATGTGTTCCAGAGGCTTGTAGAGGATGGGACGAAGGATCGGTGATAGGATGTGGTTCTGGCCAATGGTATTGTTTGAGCTGAAATATTTCGTAAAGTTCGTGTTGTGTTTTGCTGTCTTGTGTTAGGAATAATGGTCTTAATAAATTCGGGAACTATAGGATTGAATATTAATTTGTGATAAAACTGAAGTTTGTGGATTTTCCGTCTGTCGGTCAAAGAAGTCCATCCTAGTTCTCGTCGCAGTCCGTTAGTCGATGTCCGAAGTCCAGTCCCAGTGATCAGTCGTGCTGCTCTGTTTTGTGCTTTTTCTAGTCGCATGCCGTCAGTCGTTGTGATGTGTCCGTCGTAAGTGATGTCACAATAGTCGAGGAAAGGTTGAACGTAAGTAATATAGAGAGATAGAAGCATTCCTTTAGGTATGTGTTTTGCTATTGGGTATAAAGGGCCCATAGAACGATTAAATTTTAGAAGGACGTCATTAATGTGTGTGTGAAAGCGTAGATCTGTGGATAGTGTGAGGCCGAGATGTTTATGGTCATTTACTATTGGAATGGGGTTACCGCCGAAAGTAAGGGTTGGTCGATTAGTTTGTTGTCGATGTGAGAAAGTTTGTTGTGTGGTTTTCGTTGCATTGAATGTTATAGCCCATGTTTGTCCGTAGTTGTGTATGATGTCTAGGTCTTTCTGTAGTGTCGTTTGAATAAGAGCCTTTGGGTAGCCATTTTCTGTAAAGAACTTACGGAGGAAGCTGATCTCCATATCAAAAAGTTTGAAAGACGAGCTAATGTTGTAGGCGCGATAGATGGCAGTGTTTAGGATGGCTTTCTTAATAGAGAGAGGGATGTAGCTAAAAAAAACTAAGACCGAGGCCAGTGTATGATGGTTTGCGATAAACGGATGTTTCTAGCGAGTTGCCAGATCGTCTTATCCGGACATCCAAAAATTCTTATTCGGTCTTATTCGGTCTTAGTTTTTTTAGCTACATCCCTCTCTCTATTAAGAAAGCCATCCTAAACACTGCGATCTATTGCGCCTATAACATTAGCTCGTCTTTCAAACTTTTTGATATGGAGATCAGCTTCCTCCGTAAGTTCTTTACAGAAAATGGCTACCCAAAGGCTCTTATTGACTCAGCGATTTCCAAGTTTTTGAACAAACGGTTTACGCCCAAGGTCTCGACATACCACGTAGAAAAGCTTGAAAAATATTTTGTTCTTCCCCATTTCGGGAAACAGTCGCTAAAACTAAAAGAAGCAGTAGAATCACTTCTAAAAAAGTACTATCCCTACATGAACCCCAGGCTGGTGCTACGCAACAAACTAAGCATAGGCTCCCTGTTTCGGTTCAAAGACGTTGTCCCTAAGGCTTGCCGCTCTAGTGTCATTTATAAATTCAGTTGCCCCTCGTGTGAGGGGACCTACATAGGATCCACCTATGTAAGATTATGCACTAGAGTATGCCAGCATCAAGGAAAGTCCGACAGAACTGGAACCCATTTATCTTGTCCCGTCGCATCCTCAGTAAGGGACCACTCCTTAGCTTGTGACACTCCTTTCTCATTAGATGACTTTCAAATTATTGACATGGAAAGGTCTAGTTTTCAGTTGAGAATTTTGGAATCTTTTGGAATCAGATGACGCAGGCTTCAATTGAAATTTCAGTAGCCGTGATGTCACTAGGCAGCTTTACCACGCCATTTGTAAGCTCCCCTCCCGAAATCACTGTTCGAAACCGTTATCGTGACGTAAAATAAATACATTTATAGAAAGAACACCTTCCTATTTTTTTTTGCGTACTTCTTAACATTGAGCCAAATACTTTTTTAAAGAAAAAAAATAAAAAATTGGTCCTAAAGTCCAAAAAATACAAATGAAAAAACTCGATATGTCATATATCAAAAAGCGTATTTCTTTAATTAAAAATACAAAAATTATCTCTGTTTTATTGCAAGTTCAATGTTATAAAACATTTGGCATTTGAATAATTCGACTTAGAGTTACAGCCCGCCAAACTTAGCGCTGCAAAGCAAGATCCAAAAATGTTATACACCATAGCTAAAAAAACCACTATCTGATAAGCCTGAACTTGTTACAGGTGGATTCAGAGCCCCTCATTACCCTACCCCTGAGACCAATTCTCGTCAAAATCCGAGAGATGAGGGTGTCAAATTGGAAAAAAGTGGTACGATCTATCGTGGAATGCCCCAGGTGTCACAGGACGGGCCTGGTTTACCAGTATGAGTGAGCGTGTGGAAAAATGTACGTAGAAGAAACGTGTTGTAGCATTAGAGCGGCGAGAGAAACAGAGCATAAGATGGCAATACGCAATTCGATGAGAATCATTGAGGACTAGCCAAACATGTTATAGAAACGGGCCACTGCGTCGCTTGGGGAGATGTGAAAGTCTTAGCTTACGAGTCTGACTGGAGGAAACGAAAAATCAAGGAGGGAATTTTTGTCTACAAGGCGAGAGGAAATGTGCTGAATGTAAAGCCTGGTGTCATGGTGGCAGATGTGTATCGGGTGCTCGGCTAGGCGACTTAGTTCAATGTTTATGCGGTTCATTTTTGTTTTATTGTGCTTATTCATGTACGCGAATTCGTCAACGAAGTGGAACGCTGCGATCTACGAAACGAGTATATATAGATTGACAATTGTTGATAAGCGTTTAGGAAGGCCTTTAAATTAAATATTCATTTGCTTTAAATTAAGAATAAAGTTAAAATTGAAAAAATGATATATAGCCCGACGTTTCGCATTTATTGCTTATTCATGGGCAACAGTTGCCCATGAATAAGCAATAAATGCGAAACGTCGGGCTATATATCATTTTTTTCAATTTTAACTTTATTCTTAATTTAAAGCAAATGAATATTTAATTTAAAGGCCTTCCTAAACGCTTATCAACTACGAAACGAGCTTTTCTCGAATATCTGCGCCACAAATTTCAGTGGCGTTTTTTTTTTTAATTTTTGAATTCTTCTGTACTTACGTGTTTATCTGTCTTTTTAATAATTCTATCGACAGCCATCAATAAAAACTTAAAGCTGGCATTTGAACAATCTTTTACCAAATGAATCCGTCCCAGCTCAACAACATTCGCTGAAAATGGTTCGCTCAAATGACGCTCGCTCAAATAACACTTGTTTAAGTGGCTCGCACCGCTCATAGGCACAACAAAAATCAACTTCATTTTCAACTTCGAGATGTTAACCCTCGCCGGCACAGGGGGGGGGGGGGTTGATGCAACCCCCCCCCCTAAGGTTTTTCGCGAATAACTCGCGTAAAAAGCGGCCGATCGCGACGAAACTTTCAGTACCCTCGCATTGATCAATTTTACACCTACTTTGAAAATTTCATGACCCCAATGACCTTTGACCTGTGACCTCTTTTCTGTGACCATGTTTGGCCGAAATCGCGGTTCGGCGCATGTCGGCTCGCATTAGCCGCGCCTTTGCAAGCTTTTCGTGGTTTCAAACGTTCAAACATGTGATTTGATGTTGCTCCCATGCATTAGGGTGGTTGTCAAGGTCACCTGAAGGTCAGGTCAGGTCATTGACCTTTGGTGACCTCGGGTGACCTCGGTTCACTTTTTCGAGTTTTACATGTTTCTATGCTAGTTTTTGGAGCTGAATTCGAATTTAGCAACCATTTGAACATTTACGAAGTAGTTTTGGTGCCTTCGTAACATGTTACAAAGCTGTCCGAGGCGGTTGACGCGTATTACGAATACCCGTCACAGCCCCTACCGGTTGACCTGACCTGACCTGACCCGACCTGGTCTAAATGCTTAGAGACATCATCTATGATCAAAACTAACACGATATTCGTGATCAGCACCCCGGAAAACCACATAGCAGCCACATTTTACGACTTTCTAACAGGTCCCGATTTTCCCGGTTTTCGGGTCATTGACCTGACCTGGAAGGTCACCCGATGACCTAGGACCCTAAAATTGGGTATCATCGGCTTCCTCTCGTGACGGGCAACACGCTCGTTTTTTCCGCGAAGCTCTAGCTCGATCAGGGGCCAAACGCGAGGGGGGGTCGTACCAACCCCCCCCCCCCCCCCTTGTGCCGTCGAAGGACTCAAAATGGCCTGTGCCGGCGAGGGTTAAACTTAAAACAGTCGAAAAATCAACTTGAGAACTAATTTGGCCGCCAGGGCCCAGGTGAGAGCACATTTTGAAGCGCTACTTACCGCTGTTCCGCCTTGTCCAGCCGGACGTCGAGGCGCTCCCAGCGGCCGCCGGCCGCCGGTCGACAGCGCCCCTCGTCGCGAGACACGATCCGACCAGAGCCGACCCGGCGCGTCGGCAGCTCGCGGTGGATCTCCCTGGCAAGGTCAGAGGCCAGCGTCACCGGTCACCCCTCCGCACAGCATATCAAATATTAATGATGGCGGGCCGACTCAATCCACCCCGCTAGTTTTCCCGCTCTCTACCAAAGGTCAAAACCTCGCCCCGGGATTGGGACACAGGTTCGTACGCCCAAGAGGAAACACATCGGCATCGAAAATCTCTAACGTGCCGTGCTATGGAAGCAGGACGATGTGGGTGATGGACTCGGAGCGGTAGACACGGTATTCGGCTATAATATGATGTCATGCGCAGTAGGTCTATAAAAAGCCCCCACCACCAGTGGGCACTGCCTCCGCTGAGCCGAACCCGTCTGCCTGTCCCATATCTCGCCGGGCTCAGGTCAGGTAGGGTCAGCGGGACCGCTCGGTCCGGCCCGCGGGCGGTGCGAGCGATCCGGCCGGTCTAGCCTCGCAAAACCTCAATGACACTTTTTTCCGAAAATTGGAAAACAATACATATTAGTCGACAGTAAATGTATCGTTAACCCGCGGCCCACTGGGGGGGGGGGGGCTATTCATAGCCCCCCCCTCCCGTTTTTCTGCAAAAACTTCCAAACCACTTGACGTATCGACGCCAAACTTTCAGTATCTTCGGCTGCATCAATTTGACACCTTGTGTCAAAATTTGAACTTCGTAGCTACCATAGGTCGGCCGGAAATGACGTCAGAGCGACGTCATGTTCGGCCGATTTCGACGCAAAACATTGAACCACGGCAATCGCTCCCAAGAGCTCAGTTTTTGAGCTAGATCCAATTTCTTTGCATGAAAGCACTCAGAATTGACTGCGCTATCAAACTGATATCCCGGATTTTCAAAATTTTGAAAATTTCGAAAATTTTGTAAAATAATATTCAAAATTTATATTTTTATATTTTCAAAACGTTTTCGACTTTTCGAAAAAAAACCGGAATATATGTGACAGAACGCATGCTTATGACTATCTCTAGCAAGTTTTAGCTAAATATCTTCAAAAATGGCCAAGTTATACGCATTATTGCAAAAAAATTCACAATTATTAATTTTTCAAATCAATTTTTCAGTACGTAATTGACATCGTACACCAACATAAATAGCACCATCGTGTTCCTGAGCTCAAACTGCATCCAATAGACACCTTTTTTGTTGAAAATTTAAACTTCAAAATTTGATCTTTTTTACCTGAAAGTGACCTGACCTAAGCTAAATTGGACTCAAAATGACCTCGAATGACACAGACGACATCAAATTAGAAATCTATGGCCTAAATGGACCATAAAACATGTGTCACGTGACCGACGCATGATATAATATTTCCGTGACCTGTGATGACCTGACCCTGACCTGAAAATCAAAGTACAAGTTTGGTACCCTCAAAGAATCTAGAGCATCTGTTCACGAGTGTGTAAAACAAAAATGAGCCTGATCTGACTTGTAAGACGGCGGCCAGAGCCCAAAATGTGAACAAGCCGAAATGCTAATAATTTTTACTTTGACCTGACCTGTGACGTCATCGGTGACCTCGAGGTCAATGAAACTAGGTTTCGCTCGACAGTTTTTCCGGGGCTATCAGACGCCGTTTGAATTTTGACGATCGGCCCAGTAGTTTCGGAGTTAGGAGGGGGGCTATGGAGAGCCCCCCCCCCCCCCAGTAGGGCGTGTTATACGCAGACCCCAGTGGGGCGCGGGTTAAAGACAGCGTTCCGTAGCACTTCATAAGGGGGATAATCACAGCCGATTATACGCTCTTTGAATATTTTGCGGAACGAATTTTTTTTTGAATATTTTGAGCATCCATTTTGCATGAAAAGTGAAATTTAGATTTTTAGACGATTCCGTCATAAAACGCAAGTAGACCAAATAAGTTCAAAATGTCTTATAATTGGGTTAACTTTTTATATTTTTTTCTGCCGCCGAAAATTACGTTCACTGAATTAACCAAGCCAGCCAAAAAGTATTACGAGGAAAAACTGAAATAATGCTGTATCGCATGCACTAAGACACTATCTATTAGGGGAACCAGTGAAAATTTGCAACCTTTTGCAGCCCTGGCATCCACACACTTTTCTTCCTAGGGTCTTCCGTCTAACTTGGCTCCTGGGCCACGTAGCGACACGCGGTAAGTGGCATTCGAAAGAGCGAAAGAGCGGGAAGTCATTCTTATAAAGAAAAAGGACGGAGGGACGGAAGGAAAAAAGAACTCAATGAATAAAACGATTCCGTCTTTATTGGTTATCATAAAGGTTCCGTCCCTCTACCCCTCCCCTTCGTTGTTCTGCTAGGATGCGTTTTTCGTCTAAACGATTAAGAGCTTTAGTAAATGAAACAGGAATTATTTCCTGCAATATTTCCTCATAAATTTCGTCACAAAGAATGCAATCAGACCAAAAAATACTGCGTGATTACTATATAGGTATAATAAAATGAGAACCTGCAATTATTTGGGGTCATATTTGAATTTGTATGGGACCGCGGGCTGTTGTCTGCTAGAATCAAGGATAATATAGATAAGCGAGGTGGCGAGGTACCTGTAATATGTTGTAGTCTTTCCTGCTAGGCTGAAACCCACCAAAGATTGTTTTTGCGTATAAATGTGGTAAAACCTATGTCCTACTCAGTGATAGGGTGTCTTATAAGCGGCAAGGGAACAACGCAGACACCCTGACTTAGCGTGGCGGCTCGGGACAGGTGGAAGAGATAAAAGCGGAGAGGATACTGATAAGGCATCTTATCAGCTAGGGGACGACGCGGCGCGCGGCGGCTCGGGATGAAAGGGAGGGAGAGAGAGGGAAGGAGTAGGTAGAGAGAGAGAGAGAGAGAGAGAGAGAGAGAGAGAGAGAAGAGAGAGAGAGAGAGAGAGAGAGAGAGAGAGAGAGAGAGAGAGAGAGAGAGAGAGAGAGACACAGAGAGAGAGACGGGTGACGCAGGTGTTGTTTTGACGGTTTTGACGAACTGACGCTATGGAGGGGAAGAGGGGAGCGGGGGAAACAAATGGCCTGTGGGAACAGAGGACAGTCCAGCGAGAGCGCTTGAGCGTGGCTGAGTGTATACAAATTTATATGCGTGCAAACAAGAACTTAAGTGCTAAAGAGAAGTTGTAGTGCCACGTGACTCAGACCTCCAACCGTGATACATGCCCCTTCACCGTACAATGCCACCCTCAATGCAAGTGGCGCCCCTCAGCGCAGTGCCGCCCATTATTGCGATGCCGCCAGCGCCTAACAGTGCGGTGCCGCCCCCAGCGTAAGCGTTTTTTTTTTATTGAACCTGCTGGGGGGTGTTTGAACACCCACGTCTAACTCAGCTTGTGGGCCACGTCGGACACGCAGTAGGCGGCGTTCGAAAGAGCGTCAAAAACTATTATAAAACTACCTGGATCATTTTTAAGGTTAGGTCGAACTGGTCCAAGGTCAGGTCGCCAGAGACAACCGAAAATCAAATTTCGCCGATCTTGTTGACATTTTTTCGACAAAGCGGCGCAAAAGCCAGGATTCAGAAAAAGATTAAGCTACAGCGCTGCAGCAAATGGCATATTCGATAGCTCTTTTTATGCTCTCTCTCTTATTGATGATGTCAGATTTGACCTAAGGTAAACGTTTTAGCCTCAAAATCACCGCAGGTTTGTTGTCAATAGTTAAAACACTATTCTTTAGAATTGTGTTTTTCTATTGAAAAACAAATCTGAGTTCCCTGACAATTTGGCAAAAGCTGCCTGAGATCAGTACAACTTGATGCTCTTGAAAACTCTATTGAAAAACAAATCTGAGTTCCCTGACAATTTGGCAAAAGCTGCCTGAGATCAGTACAACTTGATGCTCTTGAAAACGGCTGTTCCAAAAAATCTTATTTTTTTCAGGATTTCTAGTGGGCCAGGTGATTTACGTTCTGGTATGGGTCTCCCCTCCGCGGACCATCTGGTGCACGTGCCACGTGACTTTGAAAATTCCCGTGTTAAGCCAATGGGCAAAATGAAAAAAATGCGTTCCACGGCAGATTGCTCGAAAACGATCCAAACGACCCCCCATTTTCTTCCATGCGGATCAACCACCATGAGGTACACTACCCATGGGTATGTCGCAAAGTGGCCGGAAAAGTCCAGAACCACGTGCCACGTGCCGTTGAAAATGACCCTGCACACCGGAAATTGGGACTTTTGGTCATTTCGGCGCACCCATGATGCATACTATGGCGTGGGTGACCAAACAATGGGTGTCATCCCGTCGGCAACTGTTTAAGGTGTCGTCCAGTGGGTCAAAGTGGCAGTTTCAAACTTTTGGGATCCACCATTCTGGGGATTCTTTTTGACAATTTACTTACGTTTCTAGGCGCAATGTTCATTCCACCCAGCCGGTCGTCAATGCGTTAGGTGACCCAAATGATGATTGACCTGAAGGAAGTTGGGGGCGAGGAACACGCACGTGCCATCCGTTTTTTACTCGGGCGCTTTCATCTAGGAGATTTTGGCAGATATATTTTTGATTTGCGAAAATGACCAACCTAACGGTATGCCAGTCGTTGATAAATTATTATCTTGCTGCGGCCGGGCGCTAGTTGCGGTGTTTGCGTTTGGCGGCTGGCGGGCGACTTTTAGTCGTTTTCGGTTAGCAGTTAGCGTCGGTGCGATGCTGGCGGTTTTTTTCGGCGTTTCGGCGTTTTTTTTTGTGTAGTTTGCGGCGGTCGGGCGATTTTTTTCGCCGTTTGCGTTGTCGTTTCGGGCGTGCGTTTTGCACGTTTTGCGGTGTTTACGTTTTGCGGCGGGCGGGCGTTTTGTGTTTTTTTGTGGTGTTTGTCTTTTGCGGCGGGCGGGCGGGCGGTTGATGCGGGGGTTTTCTTTTTTGCGTCGTTTGCGGTGTTAATTTTGTTTGCGGTTGGTGGCCGCTTTTTTTGCGTTGTTTGCTTTTGGCGGCGGGCGGGCGATTTTTAGGCGTTTTCGTTTGGCGGTTAGCGGGCGTGCGATGCGGGCGGTTTTATTTGTTTTGCGGCGTTTTTGCGTTTTTTT